TTGCTGTGAGCTGTAATGCCACGGCACTCTGCCCAGGGGGACAGCTTGAGGCTCTGTCTCAAAAAAAAAAAAAAAAGACACACTAACAGGGGACAAGCTGACCTCATTTGCATCTTGAGGTGATGTATGGTATCACATCCTCAGTAGGAGAGATTTTTGCCTAAATGTTTAATCTGAATTGAATCAAGCCTATAGACCTTTTTATAGGAAATAAAAGGGACAGAGGAACAAGTTAAACGACATCACAAGGAAACAATCAGACCCAGGATATGAAACATTCTGTAAGATGCCAGACTGTTGTCATCAAAAAAGAAAATGTCTTTAAAAAGAAGAAAAGGCAGGGGCTGTTGTAAACTACACTAAAGAGACCTGAACAATGAGACACAGGCTTTGAGGAGGTATGGGCCGTAATCCAACTTGACTGGATCCTGGTGTGAAACAGACAGCTATAAGTGGCATCTTGGGTCATCTAGAGAAAATTGACTAGAAATATTATAGATTTTAATATTATAATTTAAAAATTATTGTTAAATTTCTAGGTACAATAATAGAATTGTGGTTAAGTGGAAGAACGTTCTTTTTCTTGGAAGATATATACTGACATTTCATAATGTCTAAAATTTACTTTCAAATAGTTCTGGAAAAAGTTACATATATAGAAAATGACAACAGTCTGGTATCTTACAGAATGTTTCATATCCTGGGTCTGATTGTTTCCTTGTGATGTCGTTTAACTTGTTCCTCTGTCCCTTTTATTTCCTATAAAAAGGTCTATAGGCTTGATTCAATTCAGATTAAACATTTAGGCAAAAATCTCTCCTACTGAGGATGTGATACCATACATCACCTCCAGACGCAAAGAAAAGAAATATGGCTAAATATTTACTATTGTTGAATCAGGGTGTGGAAAGAATTCATGGTTATACTAAATATGAATATACTAAATTGCTTCAACTTTTTCATACACTTTGAAAATTTTCATAATAAAAGCTGGGAAGAAACAATGATTAAAAAAGAAAAACTCCAATTGCAATCTGTTGGAGCTTTTTTGTGTGAGTAAATTTTTATAATTAAAAATATATATATATGTATATATAGATAAATACTTTTGAGGCAGTCTCACTCTGTCACCCAGGCTGGAGTGCAGTGGTGGTTATAGCTCACTGTAGCTTTAAACTCCTAGGCTTAAGCAATCCTCTTGCATCAGCCTTTTGAGGAGCTGGGACTGCAGGTATGCGACCATCATGCCTAGCTAATTTTTTTGCTTGTTGTGAAATAGAAGGTCTCACCACATTAACCCAGACTAATCCTGGCCACAAGCAATTCTCCCACCGTGGCCTCCCAAAGTATGAGGATTACAGGCATGAGCCACTGTACCTGGCTTTAAGATTTTATCATATTCATGCACACAGTGAACTCTACAGGTTTCGTTTGTTCAACTAGGGGGGAAAAAGCAGTGACTTTTTTATGATACTAGGTAGATCTTTATTAGAGCATTAGGTCCTCTAAGCTATACGCCATCCTCTGCGGCAGTGTTTTTCAATCTTTTTATCTCATAGCACACTTGAACCTATAGTTAAACTTTTGTGGCACACTTAAATTATATTGATCAAGAAAAAGAGTAAAAATGAATATACTTACTGTGCTCTGAATGTCTCTTAAAATAATTTAATTAATGATCTTTAAAAATTTTTACGGCACACTTATGATCCTCTCCCAGAACTGTGTGGCACAATGGTTGAAAATCACTGCTCCAACAGAGCCACTTCAGGAGCTTAGAGAAGGAGCCTCTTCCCCTGTCACTGCACTTCACCTGTATCTAAATACCAAAGAACCCAGTGCAGATGAACAGCTCCTCACGTGCCCAAGCCTGGGGTATTTGCATGTAGCTCAGATGGGGGTCTTTCTGCCCTGTTATTCACAGTTGGTGTCTGCTGAGAACCAGCCTACTGTGGCAGATTTTCCATAATCCTACTGAAAAGAACCATTCCTCCAAGCTGCCTCTTTCCAGAGTACCCCAGAAAAGGGGGTAACTATTGGCAATTTATATTTTTCACTGCTGTTTTCAGCAATCAACCTAAGTACCCCTAAGCTCTCCAATTCTATGCTCAGGACCGACAGGGGAGTGTTTTCAAACATGGGTCAGGAGTTAGACCTGAGTTAATCTCTGTGTGACCCATCCAGCCTCAATACTATGTGACAAGGTCAGGTGAGCTAACAGAGTTTCCACAACAAGCCATTGCCTTGTTTCCATGTGGCAAAAAAAATGGAATCCTGCTCATCCTTCAAGGACTAGCTGAAAGGTGGCCCTTCCTGAAACTCCCCCATCCCCTGTCCCTCCAGCAGAGTTACCGCCACTAACTAGGGTTCCAGGTCTCTCTCGTCTTCCTCCACCAATACTATTGATGCTGCATTATTTTCAGCTGTTTATATCATCTTTCCTACATGTTCCTACATGTCAATAGCAAATAGCACGAAGCCTGGTACATCAGAGGTAAACATGGGCTGAATGAATATATTTCTGCAGCTGGACAAGCAGCTCCTGTGTATTTCCAGGTTTCCCCAGATGGCCTCACCTTGTGCTTGTACACCTTCCACTGGGCCTGCAGGGTCCTGGCGGCGATGTCTCTCCTCCTTTCAGTGGAAGGCGGGTGGGAGTGCAGGAGCCACCCCCCACAAAAATCTGTATCCAAGTCTTGTTCAGAGTATCTGCTGCTGGGAGCAGAAGCTTGTTCTTCTTGGGTCTGCAGGAAATGGAAGATGTAAAAGGACAATGAAACCAGGGAGAGGGATGAACTTCAGAGAAGGACCCAGAATGTTACTGGGCACAATGGCTGGCCAAACTTACTAGGCAAGATGAGATCAGTTCTCATCTTGCTTATTAGCAAGATGTAAAGATAGGCTGCTAGTTGGAGTCATAGTTTTAGATGTGTTTTTCATTAAACTCCCTGGCAACCATATCCGGGGGGTGGAGGGGAGAGGGTGACATTTCCTGTGGTACCTCAAAGTTAGTAACACAACTCAGTTGTACTTTATTATTGCCAGAATAATCTGTTTTTCTAGGGTCCTTTTTTGATCTTTTAAAAGTTTAATACTGTATTATAAAAATGGGATTTCTGAGATTAAAGGCAGTATATGTCTAGCTTGGTTTTTAAGATAGAAGCAGGAGAATGGCGCCTGTGGCTCAGTGAGTAGGGCACTGGCCCATATACCAAGGGTGGTGGGTTCAAACCCAGCCCCAGCCAAACTGCAATAAAAAATAGCCGGGTATGTGGCAGGCGCCTGTAGTCCCAGCGACTTGGGAGGCAAGAGAATCGCCTAAGCCCAGTAGTGAGGCTGGTTGGACGTTGCTATGAGCTGTGACATTATGGCATTCTCCTGAGGGCAATAAAGTGAGACTCTGTCTCTACCAAAAAAAAAAAAAAATAGAAGCAGGAATTACTACTATGACCATGGAAATAACAATTAATTAATTAAAATAACACTTATGGGCCCAAATTTATTATCCACAGGATGCTTTTTAATAAAAATAAAAATATTGGACTGTTTTTCTAATATCAAAGATGCAAGCTCAGATACTTTGTTCTAGAAATCCCTCAACAGAGAGAGAGATACATAAAATTGCCAGAAGTCCATATCCGGGCAAAATGCCTGGCACAAGTGGCTTGCCAAGGGTTGTGAACAAAATCCACCCAGAATGGATTAGCCAGTGTATTAAGTTTTCTATTTTCTGTATTTTATTATGCTTAGACATCCTAGGGCCTTGCTGCTGCTAGATAGAATGCCCCTCCTAGGGTTGGCCAATTGCTGTAAATGACTTGCCCTAGAGCACTAACAAATCCATCTCTCACACTCAGAACTGTCCCCTCCATCTGAGTTTCACATGACAGGAGTTTAATTCCCCTGCGCCAATCACCCAAGGCCAGGTCCTGGACAGCTAGGGATCACCCCTGTAGCCCAGAGCCCAAAAAATGATTCAAGGCAGTTAATCCCCACCCGCCGCTTTCCCTGTGGCCTGTGTGCTCTGCCTTCTATTTCTAGGACAGTCATTTCCAGGTCTGCAGGTATTAACATCTCTGACAAAGACAAGTCTGGGTACTTTAACACAGCCAGTTGTTATCAGCCCTCTTTAGTGTGTCACTAAGTTACTTAGTGCTAACATTCCCATTTTGTAATCCTAGGAAGAGCCTCATCTCTTTCCTGTAATCGTAACACATTTTCAGACTTTTGTTCCATTAAAGTGAGATACTTTGTCAAGGTGTGGCCTGTGCCTATGTGATCCAAAAAGGGAAAATCAGTTACTTAGAAGATAAAGGAACATTTATTCAAAGAACTCTTGGCAGACAGCTAAATTTTGATATGCTTATAAAATCCTTCAGGCAACTGTTAAAAAACTAAATCTCCTCACTCCATTTAAACCTACAGTTAATCATTCACATATGAATGCTGAGAGCTGATTCCTATATTTAGAACACTGGATAATCCCACTTGATGCAACTCTTCTTTTTTAAAAAATAGAAATGTTTTTAAGCAGAAAAAAAAGCTAATATATACTTCTTATGAAAATTTCAGACAATATTAGAAGAAAGTTTAACAGATGCTTATAATGCCACCACACAGAAAAAGCAATAATTGGCAGTACTTTCAGATATTTTTCTAACTATAATTTTTTTTAAAATAAAAAAAGGATCAATGTGTCATATTTCTTTTAGACTGAGGGAATTATTTCCATCAAATAATCATCGCAAGCATCTCTTCATGTCAGTAAATAAAGATGCATTTAATCCTGTGTAAGGGCTGTCAAAGTAATGCCAGTGACCAATACACAACTGCTTATTAACAGATCTCAGGTCTGCGGCCCTTCAGTTTGCTGTTGGTTCCTCCCTACTATGAACAGGGCTGCCTTGGACTTCCGTGTGCCAGTAATTCCACAGAGAGTACAGGTCATGTACTCTGGCTCATTCTTTGAGAGAATAATGGGAAAATTGGGATTCTCAATTTCTTCCTATCATTTATAAATCACAAAATGTCAAGGTCGTACAAGAAGATGCCAAAATAAAAAACATTGAGTATAATTATGACACTGAGCAAAATCTCCTAAAGCTTATTGTCAAGAGAAATGAAATACCTAAGTAAGGATATAATACCTGGAAGAAAATAACTATTATCAGGAGTTTCTGTTGTCATGGCCACTCTGCCTGGGTAATGGATGATAGAAATCACAAGTTGACTCAAAGAAAGTGGCAAACCCCACAGTAAGACCCTCAAAGAAGGGGTGACCTGGCAGCATCCAAGCTAGACCTTCTAAGGCAGTGAATACACCAGAGTCAAGAGGGACAAGGGATTTTCTTTCCTGATTGGATTTGTGTCCTATTAGCACAGGAGAGAAATCAGTATTAAGATGATCTTTTCTGTCTTCAATTCAACACATCAAAAACACGATAGGACAAACTTGTTTTTCTTTGATCTTGAGGATATAAAGAAAATCAGGCCAAGGAGAAAAAGCAGTCTTCAACAACCCGATAAACTCCAGAAACAAAGTCATTCTTTCCAATTTGGATGTATTCAGGAAATATTCTTCCTAACAGATACATGACTTTGAGTGGCAAGTTTAAAACGTAAGCAGAAACACCTACATTTATTTCTTGTTAAGCACTCTTAGGGGTCAGAGTCATGAGGAAATAAGTCATGTCAGTAAGCCCTGCAACTTGATGGTCCCCACAAACACCCCATTTGGGAAAAAGAGTCTAGCAATGCTTGTGAGTCACGTGGAGCCTGGAGAAGAACTCAAGTCCAGCTCTGTCACAGATTGCCACTGAGCAAGAATGAGGCCCCAGGAAGACACTTGTGAGGGGTCATATCCAGCTGGGCAGACATGTAGATATTCAGGTAAGCACAAGGTTTCAAGAAAAGTAATGGTCACATGGAAAGTGGCTAATTTCCTGGATGCTGGATAGTGATTCTGTGTCACTGAGAACATTACCCAAAGTGATGGAAAAACCACCACAGAAACACACCTACAGGAACAGCACAAAAAAGTACACTTTACTAAGAGCAAAAAATACTTTTCCAAAGGTACTGAGAAGGACTCACATGGCCCACCCCTGACACTAAACCAGCAGAGCAACTAAAACCAAGGTCCCTGAACAATGTATGGGCCACGATCAGCACACATGGTGAACATGCAAGGGTTTTTTTTTGTTGTTGTCTGTGTTGTGGTTTGTCTCAATTTGTAATTAAAAACGTGCTAATTAGCTTTTCCAAATTCTCTAACTTTTAAAAGTACACATAGTGTTACATATACATAAGAAGCCTTGAAATTAAGAACCCAGCTAAGTAAACCACCCTTAGAAGAGGAGAGCCAGTCCAGATTTAAAATAAAGCCCCATGCTTTCATTTCTGACTGTTGGCGTCATGAACCTCCCCCTTCCCGGTGGCCAATGACAACTTCTATCTGACCCCTACTACTGGAATAGGGAGTGGTTTTCTGACACAGAACCTCACAACTACAATGAATTGTCAAGGTAAAAACCTGACATCCTGGTGGAATCCTCAGGTATTAGTCAAAATTTTAACAACCAGAAAAAGGGTCTGCAAAGAGGCTGCTGTAAAGCTCCTTACACATTTCTAATGTGCATGTGTGTGCTCAGGATGGACTCATCCCAGATCAAACTGTTCGTATCTGTCACACATCTGCATGACAGGCTCCTTTTGGAGTAAACTGCAGCTACAGTATTTTAACCCCCAAGTTATTATGTTTGGTCTTTGTTTGAACAGGTATCAGATCTCACCTGCCATCTGAAGGACCCATTTACTGGAAAAAAGGATTAGTGAGGAGGCACTGCTAGCCACCACAAGTGCAAGAGCAGCAGCACTGGTCCAGCAAGAACCAGATGGTGGCTTCTGCTCCTCCAGTGAGGCAGGAGAGAGCCAGGCGACCTTCATAGCCACAGCCTACACCTCAGCCTCTCTGTGTGCAATCTACGTAGACAGGGGAGTAGAGGGGCAGAGAAGGTGTGTTTGCCTAGAGCTACCTCTCAGCTGTCTGCAAGGTCCCCATCAAACAGTCACTCAACACCAAACGAATATGAAGCTTAGTGACAGGCAGGGAGGGACCGGAAGACCCAACCCTACCCAGGGAGCAAATGTCCTTTGAGGCCTTGTCAGCAAGAATTCTAGAATCACATTAAAGGAGAAAATGAACATCCAGCCAGCTCAGGAGGGCCTCGTAAAGTATTCATTCCTATCACTCCCAGTCCTTCTCAACTCCTCACCTTCCCAGTAGACTACTCCTTGCTGCATAACTAAACTTTGTGCATATCTGAGGTTTGGGGAAGATCTTCATTCACCAGCTCAATTAAGACGTAAATGTTAGTGTAAAAAGTCAATTCATTGACAGTCTAGAACTCCAGACTTCTCTACCTAAGACTTAAGTTATGGAAATTGACTGTGATGATAAAAGGAAATTGGATTGCCAGTGTCATGGTCAGAAAAACCTCTGGTCGTGAAAATAACTGGAACCATCACTCATCAGTGCAAAGTCCCACCACACTTCAACAAAATGCAGCCACAATGTACCTCATGAGTAACTTCCATGGGATCATCTTTCTCTTCTTTCTCCATTTCTCGCAGTTCCTGAAACTTGTTGGTAAGTGTTTGAACTTCCTCTCTACGGTGGAAAGAGAAAAGATGACACTTTACTTGTTCCTGTGTGATGAAGGCCATCACATGGTAGGATAGACAGTCTGTGTTGGACAGCTTGCACAGAGCTGGTGAGACCACACTCCCCTGAGTAATTAGGGCCCATAGCTATGTGACCCAACTGCACTAAAGACCCCATTACAGAACAGTACTTCCTCTTGTGTCTCCCCCTCTGGAAGCCCCAGGAAGGCAGGGTTGAGGACTCCCAGGGCCCAACACCCTTCCTTAAATGGCATAACAACTCAAAATCCCTGGGTTTTTTTTAGAGTCTCAAGCTGTTGCCCTGGGTAGAGTGCTATGGTGTCACAGCTCACAGCAACCTCAAACTCTTAGGTGTAAGCGATTCTCTTGCCTCAGCCTCCTAAGTAGCTGGGACCATAGGTACCCGCCACAATGCCTGGCTATTTTTTTGTTGCAGTTGTCATTGGTGTTTTTAACAGGCCCAGGCTGGGCTTGAACCCACCAGCTTCAGCATACGTGGCCGGCACCCTACTCACTAAGCTACGGGCGCTGAGCCCACTGGTTTTTTTTTTTTTAATAAATAATATAAATGGAAGGAATGTCCTTATTACTTTTACTACTAAAGACAAAGTAAAAACAATTCATTTCTGCATTACTTGCCCTTTCTGATTTACTTTAATTCTAGCCTTCTGACAAAATTTAGTCATACTGCTCCTGAAAATAAAATATTTTATTCATTCTAGTAATCTGTGTCTTACTAATTATTCTGAATGCTAAATATTTCTGCTCGGATTTCTAATCTAGTTTTGTACGCATTTAAAAAAATGGGATAAAATTCATAACATAAAATATACTATTTTAGTGTACATTTCAGTGGTTTTTAGTATTATCTAATTCTAGAACATTTCTTTCTTTTTTTTTTTGTGAGACAGGGTCTCCCTCTGTTGCCCCGGCTAGAATGCAGTGGCATTCTTATAGCTCATTATAACTTGAAACTCTTAGACTTAGGAGATCCTCCTGCTTCAGTCTCCTGAGTATCTGGGACTACAAGTGTGTACGTCACTATGACAGTACACACTTTTTTAAATTTTTTGTAGAGATGGGGGTCTTAATCTTGCTCAGACTGATCTTGAATTCCTGATCTGATGCAGTCCTCTTGTCTTGGCCTCCCAAAGTGCTAAGATGACAGGTGTGAGCCACTGAGCCTGGCCTAATTCTAGAACATTCTATCACTGCACAAAGCAACCTCATACCTGTTAGTAGTCACTTCCCATTTCCCTTCCCCAGGCCCTAGGAGGGGAAAACCACTCTACCTTTTGTCTCTATGGATTTGCCTGTTCTTGACTTTTCATATAAATGAAACCATACATTATGTGGCCTTTTTTCACCGACCATGTTTTCAAGATTCATCCATGTTGCAGTGTGTGTCAGGGTATCCTTCCTATTTATTCCTATGTGGGGGCCGACCTGCTTGTTTATCCACTCATCAGCAATGGACACTGGGTGGTTCTCACCTCCTGGCTCTGCAAATGATGCTACTGTGGAGGGGCACACAAAATTATCTCTTCCTGAAGAGATAATTTGGCTGTCTTGACCAGGGCCCAGCACAGAGGTGTGAAGTCAGAACTGTTTAGAGACAACATGGGGGCTAATGGGAGTGGGGATGCACTGAAGGTTGGCCACATGCTAAAAAGGCACACGTGGGCCTAATCGTAAGGAGCCTTTTTCCAGACTTTGGGTTTTTACTCTGAAGATCACAGAAAACTGCTCAAAGATTGTAGGAAGACGAGTGTGACCTTCATAAAAATCACTCTGCAAATGCTGAAAGTAGGTGCGGTGGGGGTGGGGGGGGGCAGCACATAGAAGTAAGGAGCCTGGAACATGAGATTCTCTTCAAAACTTGACCTCAGGTCACTTACTTTAAAGCCTCCTCCTGTTTTCGTCTCTCCTTTTCCCATTCCCTCATGTTTTCCAGCTCCTTCTCCAGGTCAGCCTTTATCTGTAGCAGCTGCTTCACCTCCAACCTAAGCACACAGAACCAGAGACACATCAGTGTCACTAAAGCAAGAAGTCATTACAGAGCAGGAGGACGGTTTAGGAAAACGATATTGCTCAACTCCCCTCCTTAGTACGGTGGATGATAGGGCAGAAGGATCAAGAATAGCCCTTATTTCTAATTACACAGAGCCAGGAACAGTCCTGAGGGTGCTGACCACAATGTGCCAGTGACTATCAGGGGCAGGGGACTAATGGGAATAAAACCAGACAAGATGCTGCCTTCTCAGGCCCCACAATCTGAGTAGGCGACACCAATCCAGCTGTCATGCAACAGCACACAGCTCAGGGCTGCCACATGTGTGTTGCCTACTCCAAGCAGGAGGGGAAGGCAGGCTACCCAGACACGTGGCTGAGCCTCAACAGATTGATTTTCTCGAGTTCCAAGCATGGCAAGGTGGCCACAAACTTATGTTAGAGAAGAGCTGTCTGAATCTCAGATCCAACTTTTCAAGGTCCTCATCAATTTCCACATTAAATTAGGTAAAACCGGAGTGTTCAGCAGAGTGCCCATACACAATAAGGGCTCAATAAATGGTAGCTATTGTCATGCCACTTGATAGCTTAATAGATAATTCTTACAGTAATTACCCTTCAGTGTGACTAGCTTAATTTTAAAACCCTGTCATAAGATACCAATTTTTACAAAGAACCTCTTGGTGTACACACATGCACCATGAGACTTTGATTGGAAGTGAGACACAGGAGTGTGGCAGCATCTGCCCTCTGCCATGAACAGAAGGCAGAAGATCTTAGATTGAAACCTCTGGTTGAATCCTGCTCAGACTTAATGCCACAAACCAGCTGGAAGTCTCACCAGAGGCAGTGCAGTACTCAGATGGTCTCAGCCACAGCCCAAGAGCCTACATTTCTAACCAACTGGCAGGTGAAACTGAGGCAACCAGTTTCACAGACCACTCTGAGTAGCAGCTCACTTTCGTGTTGGCAAAATAGAGAGAGAAGCCTCATTTCAATCATCTGGGATCAGGGACAGAGCTCCAACTAGAAAAGCCACAGCAGCAGGAAGGAGGTGGCAGGCAGACCAAGTTTCAAGTGGGCTACAGATCATGAAACCAAAAAAACACACAGTGAGGTTTGGCCTTTTCAACTCCTAGGGTCACAGTGAATATTTTACAGCATGTATGTTTTATTTCACACATAGAGCATACGTCATAAACTTACTACTGAATATTAAAACCACTCTGCATAAGATCTAATCAACTCTGCACAAATCAATGAAAGTAAATGCCTCTCTGCTAAACAATCTGAAGTTCCCTTTGGAATTCAGTGTAGAGATTTAAGTAATGCTCCCTTGTCCATACTATGATGACATCATCTGGTCAGTGTCTTCTTTTTATCTCTAAAGCTGACTTTATGTCACTACTGAAATATAATAAGTTTTAGAATCATATAAAATATTCACGTAAAAAAAATATTCACGTAGGACAGCACCTGTGGCTCAAAGGAGTAGGGCGCTGGCCCCATATGCCAGAGGTAGCGGGTTCAAACCCAGCCCCAGCCAAAAACTGCAAAGAGGAAAAAAAAAAATATTCACGTAATACCTATCATGAGCTGAGCGCCTCCCCACACTCACAGAAGTTTAACCAGAGCAACAGCTTACACAGGGAGCAGGAACCTTCGCAGCGAGTGTGCTGCCAGCCAGTCCAAGAGCACCTACCCTCTCTCTAGCAGCTGTGCCTGTAGGGCATCCCGCTCCCCCTTCAGGCTTCTCAGGGTGCCCCGGAGACGCTCCTGCTCTTCCTGGAGACGCTCCTGCTCTTCCCGGCAGCCCCGGAGACGCTCCTGCTCTTCCCCGCAGCAGCCCCGGAGACGTTCCTGCTCTTCCCGGCAGTCTCGGTCCCCTCGTAGCTGTCTGTTCACCGTGGAGCTGGATGAAGAATGAGCCAGAGGACTTGACTTGGCCAGTTCTGAGGGACGTAACTTCAAGCTCTCTACTGAACTGATTTTCTGGAGGCAACATAGGCACTGGTTAGAGTCAGTTTTATTTCTTATTTTGACTCTCCATTTATGAAATCCAGAAAAGAGACAATAGCTGCAGTTTACACTCTACCAGCCGAGCTACTAAAGGGACACAGGTAGAAAAGAGACAAGTCAAAGGGAAGTGTGTCTCCTGTGGGGGCATGGGAACAGCTTGGCTGGGTGACCCAGGTGCCTGGGAGATGCCCACTGGGCACAAATCTACCGGAAGAGCAGCTGCCCGGCACAGCTCTTCAGTCAGGAGTTGGAGAGCGCCGACCCTCGCAGAGGCAGAGCAAGGGCGGCAATGGTGAAGTGAGAGAGGAGGGCACGAGAGGACTTCAGGGGCGACTTTTCTTTGTGCTCACTAACTCTATTATTGTCCTGGAATGACAGGAACTTTCAGTCTTTATATCAAGCTCAAATGCTATTCCAGTTTTGCAGCAAAGTGACCTGAACCCCCAGTATCTCCCTCCCACTCAGAGCTCTTGGCTGAGATGTAATTCCCCACTGGACTCAGAGCCACCTCTGGGTTTTTAAGTTTTCTAGTAAAGTTTAAATACCCACTATTTATAAAATCTTAAGTTTTCTACTTAGTGAATCTGTAAAATTATTCTTTCAAAACATTTTCTCCTCTATGTCTTCTCTGCTTAGCCCAGCAGCAGAGCCCTCACCTTCATGTTTAAAATGGAAAGGTGTCAATGTGCTCATCCCAACAGAATCAGACTGATTATCCTTGAATGATCAGACTGATCATTCACGTCGGGAGCTGGGGGTGGGGAATGTTAATTTCCCCAATTTTCTGGTTGCCAAAGTATAATGAACAGTTTTTTGCAAAACCACATATTAGATGAGTGGTGAGCAGAACAGGCTGGTGAGTGATTGGCAGTGGAGAGGCCACAACATGCATGTGCCAGGCTGGGCTGCTGAAGGCTTCACAGTCACACACATCCACCTGAGTGAGGCCACACACAAAAGCCTAGAGATGTGTGCTGCAAGAACGTGGCTTTGCTATTATCTGGAAGATGAAAGATGTGAGATGTACCTTTGGGTCTTGTCTAGGCCTGGGGAAGTCCACTCTGCTGTCTTCATGTTATGCTGCCTGGTGCATAGCTGTGGTTTATGCGTTCAGTGTGATCTGACTCTGTAAATCTATGTTCTACTGCACAGGACAAGCTGGCTCTGAACAGTAGGGTGCCAATGAGATGCCACCCACCTTTTCGAGCTCTGAAATACGCCTCAGCAGCCTGGGCTTGCTCCATTCTGTGTAACCTGCTAGAAATGACACATTTCAGAAGGACCATTTGACGGGCATATTAGCCCAGACCACCCTTCTCAGGCAAGGTCTGACACTTCCTGTCCACCGGCTAAGCAGCTTTACAGCAAAGCCACAAGTCCCACCAGGCAGACTCTTGCCCTCCAATGGGCTTCCTCTGTATCCTTTGCTGCAAAGAGTTACCAATTAATGGTCTCCAAGTATCTTAGTGTGACATTCTTTCCTGATTCTGTCCCAGTAGGATTAAGGTGGTTCTTATCAAGGTCACCAATATTTTCACTTTGCCAAATTCAAAGCTCAGCTCTCAGTCCTCACATACTAACTGGCATGGCTGGCTATCTAACTCCCTTATGTCTAGGCTGCCACATGCCTGGCTCTCCTGGCACCTCACTGATGCTCCTTCTCCCTCTGCTGTATGGGTTCACCTCCACTCTTTACCACCTGGGCCCACTCCTCCCCTCACAGGCACTTGCTAGGTGGCCCCACTCGGTCTCACCCACATACTGTGAGCTGCATGCTCAGTGCCCAGCCCAGGCCTCTACCCAGAATCCTAAACATATCTGCACCTGGCCTATGCCCCACCATTTAGACCTCATCATGTTCCCCTTCTCCAAATCTGCTCCTCTGTCCTCTCCATCTCAGGAAATGACAGCTCTGTCAATTCAGTTGCTCAGACAAAACCCCCTGGAGCCTGACCCTTCCCTCTCTGTCTAGGTCTCTGCATTTCCTGTAAGTCACACCTTCAAAGTGCATTCAGAACTTGACACCTCTCACCACTCCTGCCACCACTCTGGCCCAAGCCAACAGACCCCTCACTAGTGCAAGGGTAGAGCCCTCTGCCTGCCAACATTTCCCTCTGCATACAGCCCCAGCATAGAAGCCAGGGTCCTTGGGAAGCAGGGAAGACACCTAGGCCCTCTGTATGACACTCCTATGGAACCTGCCTCGCTGGACCTTCAGGCTGGTATACTCCACCTGTCTCCCTCACCAACTTTATCATAGCACCCAGGGCCTCTGCGCTCCTGCTTCCAGCCTGGAGTGCTGCCCCCTGCTGCCTTCATGACTGGCCCTCAGCTCTTCTAGGCCACACTCAGTACTTACTGTGTTGGTTGGGCCTTCCTGATGACCTTGTCTGTAGCTGCACACCACTGCCCCCAGAGCCCCAAACCTGTTGTCTCTTTTCCCTACTCTGTCTTTCCCTGCAGCACACATTACCACCTGACATGGGTTCGTCTCAGTAACTCTCCCCTCACCACATCATTTCCATGAGGGATGTCTGCATGCCTTTCTCCAGTACTCTCAACTCTAGGGTCAGGAACACTGCTTGGCACATTTGGGAATAAGTGTTGTAACCGTACACATCTATATTCGCGACATAGGCAGTGAGGTCCTCCTGGCTACAGGGAAAAAGGGCTAATCACATGGCCTATGTCAGGCCAAGGTCTGCCGTGGTCAACTCCCTGTGGCAGCCACCTACATCTTCCCTCTAGAACAAGAGATGTGACCTCTCTCCTTGGGTCTCTCTCCTTGAGTGGCTCTTAAAGATACCTTTTACTTTGGAGACAGTGGGAGAGTTGCTCAGTACACGATCTAGGTCTTCCTTCAGGCTCTGGTTTTCCTCCGTAAGCTCCTGAACGCTCCGAGACAAGTTCAGGAGAGCACTATTCACTTTCTTCTGCCTTCTTGCACTCATCTTCTTTTCCCCCGGAGGCCTAGGAATAACCAAATCAAGGGTCTAAGGTTTGAATGTCTAAACTGGTTTAATAAAGTGTTTTCAATAAGGCAAACCAAAATTGTCTCTGCTTGGTCTGTGAGATCAGAGTGGTTTTTGCAGGTGAGTGTTTGCAATCAAATAGGGAATAACCTTGAATCTCAAATAAGCAAAATGTTAGCCCTTAGGACAGAATTCCATTTTTATAGTTAGTAAATCTGTATAACAAAATATTGTGTTCACTGACTAGTATTCTATTTTTTACATCTATTTATTTATGAGATACAAGCCTTATTCTGTCACCTAGGTTAGAGTCTTGTGGCCTTAGCCTAGCTCACAGCAACCTCAAACTCCTGGGCTCTAGCAATCCTGCCTTAGCCTCCAGCCTCAGCCCAGCTAATTTTTCTATTTTTAGTAGAGACAAAGTCTCACTTTCATTCATGCTGGTCTTGAATGCTTAAGCTCAAGGGATCCTCCTCCCTTGGCCTCCCGGAGTGCTAGGTTTATAGGCATGAGCCACTGTGTCTGGCCTAGTATTATATTTTAAATGTCATCACTAATAATTTTATAGAAACTTATTTTCTCTCATTACATTAAGTAGCTGTATAATAGCTTTGATTTTGCCTCTTATCTCACAAAGTCTAAAATATGGTTAATCCTCTTTATTTGTAGAGTCCATACTTCCAAATTTGCCTACTGGCTGAAATTGATCTGTAACCCCAAGATCAATAATCATGAGAATTCACACACATGCATACAGTGATTTAAAAAAACCTGAATTGCTGACTCCAATGTCCCAGCCAAGGTTGAATGAGGTGATGCTCATACTGTGAACAAGTATCCTTTTTGCAGTCTACTCAGTGCCATGTCTTTTATATTTTTGGCTTTTTGTTGGTGATTTTACTGTTTACTATGGCCTAGAACCGTAGTGCTGAGTGCTATCTAGTATATCTAAGCTCTGGAAAGCTGTGACGTGCCTTACAAAAAAAAATACATGTGTTAGCCAAGCTTTGTTGAGGTGTGAATTATACAGCTGCCTTGAGTTCAATGTGAAGAAATCCACAGTATACGATAAATAGGGTGTCGTTAAGCAGAAACACAAACAAAACAGGTTATGTATTTATCAGTTGATAAAATATTGTGACCAGAGGCTCAAAGGAACTGAATCCTGTATTTCCCCTAGGAGCACTGGTTTAGTATTCACTAATTCAGTGTTCATGAAAACTTTATAGACTATAACTACTGGGAATAATGAAAATCGATAATTCATTATCTGGCCCTTTACAGAAAAAGTTTTCCAACCACTGTTTTAAACTAGTAGGGGTAAATAAAAAAAGAGAAAACCATGCCTGACACAGTGTAAACACTCCATAAATGTTAGTAGTTTTACTGCAGTGACATGACCAATCTATGATAAGGAATAGCCCTTCCAGAATTTCTTGAAAGCCTACTATTATTTTGGGAAAGGAATATGGGAAATCTACAAAATAAGGGGAACCTTGATGTCTCTCCTAATAAATTTATTTGGGAAAACTTTAAGTCATGAAATAAACTTGTACTTGTATGAAATGTCTTCCTAATAAGGTAAATAGGCTTTAAAAAACCGTATTTTCTAATTCTAAACTGGAAAATATAATATAGAATATACAATTAATACATGGAATACTAAACACACAGTAGTTGTCAACAAGTGATGATTATAAGGGAACATCTGTAAACACCTCCAATGGAAACATATCAACTCTAACCATTAACAGGACAAGTGTAGGTATTGGCACTACTGCAAAGTTAGGGCAGGCTGTGCCATTTCCCCAAGATGACTACACTGCTCTTAGAGTAGTTTCCGTAATATGAAGACCACACATGAAACCTGGCTCCCAAACAGATCATCATACTTCTTTCCTGTAGTGTCACAACTTGCCAAGAGAGTCTGGAGACGATGAATCTGTAAATTTCAAATTAAAATACATTAAAAACACAGAACGAGCATAAAGAAGATCTTCCCTTGAAACAATTATAATCAGATACCTGATTACTGCCCCTCAGTAGGAAGTAAAAGCTAAGTTTCTGTGATTTATTTTCAAGCCAAGCTGAAAGAGAACAGGCTCCCAAGAGTGCAGCCCCAGGCTACTGCCTGGCCTCAGCCCATCACCCTGGCCAAAGGCAGGCCGTCCCCTTACGTTCCATCCTGCCTTCACCAGCTGTAGCCGAGGGGAACACACACCTCTTCGTAGTATGTCTCCATAGCGATCCTCATCTCTTCCAAGTTGGTGGTCTTCATATCAGTCTGGAGTTTGCTGAAAACCCAAGTTCAGAGTTAACATGGCAGTGCCAGCATTTTCAGGTGACTAAGTAAGAGGAAGAGCGTTTTCCCAGAAGGTTCAGAGAAGGATTAGCTTTGGAAGAGAACAAGTATGGGAAGGGAAAAGCCTGAATTGCCCCTCCGTTGGTTTGTGGCCTTGAACAAATGAGTTGTTTTGAGATTGACAGGTGAATTCCTCACACTAGAAGTGTCCCTTCACTGTCAGACCAGCTACTTCCCACGGTGAGAAAACAGCCTCCCTAAAAGTACTGTTCTCTAAATAAGCTACTGTCTCTAAACACTTGTGAAGACAGATTTCAGAAGTGAGAGGACAAAACACCTTTGGGACAGGTGGTAGAGTAATTAGCTTTATAAAGAAAATAGAATCACTCTTCCCCTTGTACTGTCACCCACTCTTGACACATAACAGACTGCAGATAAAAGACATCAAGGCAGAAGTGAAAGTAAAGTCACAGTTCAGCACTGAGACACAGAAGAAATCAGCAAATAATCACATTTATTTTAAGTTGACAAAATTAAGCAAGAAACAAACAGGAGGGAAAACTGTTACTGTGAGACTTGAGGTAATAGACATGCTGCCTCAGTTTTCCTTAAATAAACCTAAGCACAGTTAAGAAAGTCTATCCCTTCACACTGAGAAGACAGGTAAAGAAATGTGAGTAACTACACCAAAACCAGCACAAGGACAGCACATGACTGAGAGGCAGAAAAAATTCACCCTGAAAATAAAAAGGGGTACACAGAATACTAAGGGGAGAAAGCATTTCTTAACTATAACAAGAAAAAGTTAGACTGTTTCCTAATGAAATTTGGAGGGAATGCGGATAATACAAAAAAAAAAAGAAGCAGCCTTCACTTTTGGGGTGAGAATAGGGAGAAAGGCGCGTGGAGGCTAGTATCAGGGTGAGAAGGCAGAGGGGGGACGGGCAGGGCGCAGCGTACTTGATGGTGGTGTCCTTCTCCTTGCACTGCTGCTCCAGCTTCAGAATCCTCTGCTTTAGCCCATTAATGACCTAACAAGAGAGCACCACTGCATCAAGTGTGACAATTTCCACAGTCTGTGGCCTTCCCCACCTCTGGATACTCAGCTGCCTAGGTCCCTAGGCTGGGCTGGCTATCCTCTGCGGAGAATCAATAGCCTCTGCATCTCCTCCCCTACAGAGCACCTTCCCTTCCTCCTTGCCATCCCCTCTTGCAGTCCACAGGCTCAGTGAAGCGAGAAGGCCCTGCCATCTTGCCCACTCACTGTGCAGTGCTGAGTGGGTGACTGAGGGAACACAATACCGTGTTGGAGGAGGAGGCAGCATCTTGGTCACACCAACAGGCAGGGCATTCTCTTAAGCACAATGCACGCCTGGGAGGAACATGATGCACCCTCAGGTATTTAAGTAAAGAAGGCCACCATGGCTGCTACATGGATAAACCATTGTCTCTTAGCCCCCCCAGGGTAATTCAGTTCTCAGTCTTCTCGCGTAGCCAGCAGGGCTGACAGGGACAACAGCCTGGCAGGGCCCTGAGGAGGCCCTGCACCTCCACCTGGGGGAGGAAGAACTGCTCCACTGGTCTCATCACCTCCTTTTCTGTGAATGTCTATATGGGGAGATAACACCCTTATGTTCCTTACAGAACATCTGTTTTATTTTGAATAGACAATTTTCAAATTGGATTTTTTTTTTTTTTTTTTTTGACAGAGCCTCAAGCTGTCCCCCTGGGTAGAGTGCTGTGGCATTACAGCTCACAGCAACGTCCAACTCCTGGGCTCAAGCGAGTCTCCTGCCTCTGCCTCCCAAGTAGCTGGGACCACAGGCGCCCGCCACAACGCCCGGCTATTTTTTGTTTGCAGCCATCATTGTTGTTTGGCGGGTCCTGGCTGGAGATTCGAACCCGCCACCTTAGGTGTACATGGCTGGCGCCTTAGCCGGTTGAGCTATAGGCGCCGAGCCTTCAAATTGGATTTTAACATAGCTTTAAATTATATTAGTAATATATGAATGTATTTTCTTTAAAAAAAAAATGAAGACACCATAGGCAAGGCTAAAATACTTTGACCTTGGCACTCCCTTCCTTACCCAACTAGATCCTGTTATCAACATAGTGTGCCACATCCCCCCCTTACTCTATGTATGCCCATATGTGTGCATGCCCACTAGAATTAGAGCATTGTTACTTACAAAACTGAGACTCTACCACATGTGACACTCTGCCACCTTTTTTTCACTCAGCAGCTCTCTTGCTGATCTACCTGCAGTTCCTATGTGACTGTATTATTCTCCATGGCATGAGCACACCACAGCGTATCTGTCTGTTCTCCTTCTGATGACATTTAGGTTGTCACCACTTTTGCCATTATAATCAATCCTTCAATAGGAACCCTGGCCTGGGCCTTCTTGGGCACGTCTACAAAGGTATTTTTCTTTCTTCTTCTTCTTTTTTTTTTGTTACTAACTGCCCAAAGCACATGATGCAAATCTTTCTTGAGGACAGATAATGACAAGTAGAAATGTTTAATCATAGGACATAGCCACTTGGGAGGACAATTTGCTGTGGGTATTAAAAAGATTACTGCATACACCCTATGATCTAGAATTTCTACTTTAATAAACTCTAATAAAACACATGCATGCACACACATCAGAACAACAAAAATACAAGAGCCCTTTCTCTATAAGGGTACCCATTATTTAAAGAATTTTACTTTGTCCAAATTAATCAGGTAGACATTTCTGTAAATAGTGCACTGTTGTATATTTAAAAAAAATTTTTTTACAAATATGTTTTGAGCTAGCTATATTCCACTTTGAATGACTTCTCCTCAATTTTCCCCCTAAAGTGGGTAGCTATAAAAACTCTGTGCTTTTTGTATTAGATTACTTACTTGAGACATAGTCCTAAAAAGAGCAGTATTAGATAACAGTAGGCACAGTTTTATAGATCACTGCTTTGTACAGTCATGCTAACTTAAAATGCAATGTCTAAAGTCTAAGCATACCTGTTTTTTCCTTAATCCTGCCAATATTGGTTTTGATCATCTGTACTAATTTTGCTACTTTAAGATGTGAGGTTTTACTTATAGCAATTTAAAATAATTCCTAGGTCAGGTATAAGCTCATACTTGTCATCCCAGCACTTTGGGAGGCTGGGATAGGAGGACTGCTTGAGGCCAGTTTGAGACCAGAATGCTCAACATAGCAAGATTCTATCTTTACAAAATAAATTTATAAAGAATTAGTCATGTGTAGTGGCACACACTCGCACTTATAGTCCCAGGTACTCAGGAAGCTGAAGCAGGAAGATTACTAGAGCCCAGGAGTTTGAGGTTGTAGTGAGCTATGATGATTGCACTGGACTCCACTCTAGGTGACAGAGCAAGATGCTGTTTCACAAATAATAATAATAGTAATGAAATAAAACAAAAATAATCTCCTCACTCAATTATTTACTGCCAGTGAAATGCTAGGGACTAAGACAGACCCCACTCCTGCCTTCACAGACTTTAGTCATTAATTACGAGCCAAGTCTCTTAACCTCAGTTTCCTTATTTTAAAAATGGGGATTGAAGTACCTATTGCAAAAACAAACAAAAAAACAAATAAGATCATACACATGTACAAACTGAACAACTCTGCAATGTTTAGGATTGGCTATTATCCAAAAAATATTTTCTTGTGTTAACACATTGATTTACTCAAAAGCATCTATTAAGGATTTACTTTGTGCTATTCGAGGTACAGAATTAGGCTTTAATCATTATTAAATATATAATGTTTATGTACTCTATACATTCCATTTCAGAGTGGACTTTTTTCTTTAGAGATTTATATAACATTCTTAGATATTTTGTTATCTTACTCAATAATATTCTTCCCCCACCCCAATAAAGTGATTCCATCTTAGTCTTATGAGTTTTTATTATATAAATTTCATGTTATCAGATCCATTAATCACATCATTAATGTTATTTTATTCTTTGTATTCAATAATCTCAAAATTGTATCCTTCAGTTTTCTTCTAGCATTTCCCAAATGTGATTCCTTGACTCCCATGAAGTTCACTGAGGTACTTTTTTTCCTAACTGTTATGGTTTATTGCCACAATGTTAATCATATAATGGCTCCATTTTCCATCATTTTGTTTCAATTTGTCATATATCATTACATAGTATATGAGGAATGTTTGTATCTATTTCAAAGACTCCATTATATTGGGCTTTGCTTCCCTGTTTTAATTCAGTATTGATTTTAAGCATAATGTATTTTTTTAGATACTGGAGGGGAGTCGCCTATTGCAGCTATTTTTTTCTACAGTATACTGTTCGGCTCTGCTGGCCCCCTGCTCCTCCCAACAACTCCTGAAGCATCCATCTTCCTGGAGTAATCCCCATGTCTCCATGGAGAACAGTTTTGGGGAATCCTGTGCCCCTCCCTCCACCTGCCACTCCTCTTGTGCCAGGGGCTGTTTCTGGTAATGGGGCCTCAGTGGAAGGCTTTCTGCCCTGCTGAAGACTATACTCACCCAACCAGTATCAGGCCTTTTCTCTGCCAGAGTCCGAACAAAATCCGAGCCCTGTGGTGAGCAGATTGAGATGTGAAGAGATGTTCATTGTAGCCTCCCCCACCAGTTGGATGCCTGCAGGCAGAAGCCCTCCACAAAGGGCCAGGGACTTACTCGACTGGGTTCCAAAAGCTGCTCTATCTGCCGATCCTTTCTGTTATTTTCCTCTTCTAAGCGCCGAAGCTTTGTCCTCATCAGATCCATATCATTTTTCTGCATGTGTAATGACTGAAGAAAAGAAGGACCACGCACACACACACGATGTACGCATAGACACCCAGTTGGAAACACTCAGTTGGAGAAGAATTTTAAAAGCTGCCTGGTTCCCACACAGGACACTGTGTGTGACGGTGGGGAAAGGGCAGGGCCATCTGGACATCACAACAAGGGGCACCGAAGGGCACGCTTGGCATTTAGTGGATGGGGCCCAGGCGAGTTGAAATGCACTGTATGTGCAGAAAAATCCCAAGCCACTAAGAATTCTCCCATCCAAATGCCAACAGTACCCTGCCTAAAAAACAATGCCACGTAGAACGTACCAACAAATCAACACTGAACACTGGTTTGGGAAAGTGCCAAAGTCACATGTTCTCTTCCATGACCACACGAAAAAGCCCGTTTTTGTCACATCACGTATCCCTATAACTTATCAAAAACTAATAGTTACTTCAAATATTAATCTTTAGCTAAGGCTCTGATGCAGAGCAGTGGTCTTCAACTTTCATCTATGGATGAATTTTTCACCAATCTGTGGTGAATTATAGGGAAAAAAAAGGCGGTATAGTCAAATTTTCACAAAATTAAGTTTATTTAAGTTCTGTAACTATCCTATATTTTGAAATTATATCCCTCCTATTTCAGGCTTATAGTTATAAAAAGGTGATGGTAGGATATTTTTAATTTTTGTTTTTAATGTCTTCACTTAGAAAAGCTTTTTACTAATCTGAAAAGCAAGTGGTTAAAAGCCTACATAGGTCAGGCTATGCCACAACTCTCTGGCTTCCAGCCATTCATCGTGAACCAGCCATTTATCTTGTGAAAGGCCTTCTTCTGTTATGGGGCCTTGTTATGCTCTGAAGAGAGACTTCATGCCTGTGCAAACCATCACTACTGTCTGAAAGACAATTCCAGAAGCACACCTCACTGAGGGCGGCTTGGCACATCAGTCACAGCTACAGCTGGCAGGACTGTGTCCAGGATTGGTACAGACCAACTTACAGGTTCAAGGAGCATGATGGATAACTGGTACTCACTGAGTGTTCACTGAATGGATTAGCTAATGCACAGGCACTGAGACAGATAAGAAGTCTAATAATGGGAATTCTATTTCCAGAAATATGAAGTAGATTCACCTTTCCCTATTCCTCCTGCTAGCACGGCTGAAAACCCTTGGGTCCTGTGGGTCCTGTGTTTAACATGAACATGGGAAGACTTTGATAAGAAGCAAGAAGAAGGCAGACGGGGCCAGGCGCAGAGGCTCACGCCTGTAATCCTAGCACTTTGGGAGGCTGAGGTGGATGGATTGCTTAAGCTCACAAGTTCAAGACCAGCCTGAGCAAAAGCAAGACGCTTTCTCCACTAAAAATAGAAAAACTGAGGCAAGAGGATTTCTTCAACCCAAAAGTTGGAGGTTGCTGTAAGCTATGACACCACAGCACTCTGCCCAAGGTGACAGCTTGAGACTCTGTCTCGAAAAAGCAAAAAGAAGAAGAAGAAAATGGCAGACAGGCTGGGCAGTGGGGTCCCAGGATGAATACCACAGGGAGCTCTTTCAGTTTTCTTTTTGCCTCATCTAGACTGGGTGCTGGAAAAGCCAAAAACCTGGAGAGCCAAAGAATTGCCAGGAAAGGGGCAGCCTAACAAGGCAGAAAACTTACAGACAATAATTGTTCTACCCCAAGCAAAGCCAGAGGCAATAGTACAGTCACCCTGCCAGTAAAGGCTATGTGGGGGCTTAGATACTTGCCCTTCTCCAACTGCATTGAAGTGCCCTCCTCTTGCACAGTGGGGCAACTCTAGGGGTGACCCAGGGCACAGTCAGGACTTCTGCCAGGAAAGGCCATTTGGGAAGCAGTACAAAGGGGTTGGGTTCTTCTCTTCCAGCCAGGGTGGTATCACCACTCCCTGCAGGCAGGAGGAGCCCTCCCCATGTGGGTGACAATGTGGTTAAGTGGGAGCTGGATCTGCACCCCTACCTGGCAATAAGGAAGTGGCCAGAGGAGGCCTTCTAACACATAAGATTTAACTAATATATTCTCAAAATGTCCAGGTTTCGATCACAATCACTTGTCAAGAACAAAGACTATCTCAGCCTGAATGAGAAAAAACCAAACAACAGATGCCAATACTGAGATGGCATACATGTTAAAATCTGACAAAGATTTAAAGCAGCCACCATAAAATGCTTCAATGACCAATTATGAACACATCTAAAACAAATGAAAAACTAGAAAGTCTCAGCAATAAAACAGAAAATATAATGAACCCAATGAAAGTCACAGAACTGAAAAAATAAAGTAACTAAAATCAAACACTCAGTGACGGGCTCAATAGCAGAGTGTAAAGGACAAAGGAAAGAATCAGTGAATCTGAAGACAAAACAGTGGAAATTACCCAATTGGAATGAGAGAAAATAAATAGGAAAAATAAAGAGAACCTCAGGGACTTGGACCACTGTAACAAAAAAAGGCTGAAAAAATATTTTAAGAAATAATGCCTGAAACTTTCCCACATTTGACAAGAGGCTGAGAAAAATCCCAAACAGGAAAAACCCCCTAAAATCCACAACAAGACATATTATAGTCAAACTTCTAAAATAAAGACAAAGAAAAAACTTCGTAGTGAGAGAGAACAGCTTAACTTGTCTAAAGAAGAAAAACAATTCAAATAATGCCAAATCTCTCATCAGAAACCATGGAGGCCAGGAGGAAGTAAAAAAATATTTTTCAAGGAATGAAAGAATGATTAGCCAGGAAGACTATCCTTCATGAATGAAGGGAGACATGTCTCTTATCTTCTTAGATGAAGAAAAAGATAAGAGAATTTGTCACCAGCAGACCTATTCTCTCTATCTGAAAGACTGCCTAAGGGGAGTTCTCTGAACAGAAAGGAAATCATAAAAGGAATCTTACAATATCAGTAAGGAAGACAGAATGGTGGGAAAAGATGGGTAAACATAACATACTTTATTTCTCCTCTTGAGTTTTCTATATTATTAATTTTTTTAAATAACTTTTTTTCTCTTTCTTTCTTTTATTAAAGAAATAGAGTCTATCTCTGCCACCCAGAGTACAGAGGTGTGATCGGAGTTCACAATAACCTCCAACTCCTGGGCTCAGCTCAAGTGACCCTCATGCATCAGGCTCCTGAGTAACTGGGACTACAGGTATGCACCTCCACACTCAGCTAATTTTTCTTTTTTTTAGAGACAGGATCTTGCTATGCTGCCCAGGCTGATCTTGAACTCCTGACCTCAAGTGTTACTCTTAGCTCAGCCTCTCAAATTGCTGAGATTACAGGTGTAAGCCTTAGAATGAAGCTGAGTTTCTAAATTATATTTGACATTGAAGCAAAAAATTATACTACTGTCTGATGTGGTTCTCAGTGTACATGTATAGAGGAAATGTATATGTGAGTGGAGGTGCTGAAGGCCATAAAGTGAGGTGAGGTTTCTGTTCACTCAAACTGTAAATTGTCTATGTTATACCAATGTTACCAATGGCAACCATACACTAAATACACTATACAAAGAGAAGCACTCGAAAACGGTAGAAAAAATCAAAATGGAATTCTAAAGTACGTTGAAGTAAACTATAGGGAGGCAAAAATGAAAACAGAAATGCATAAAGATAGAACAGAAAACAAAAAATAAAATGGGCTAGGCACCTGTGGCTCAAGTGGCTAAGGCGCCAGCCACAAACACCTAAGCTGGTGGGTTTAAAACCAGCCCGGGCCTCCCAAACAACAATGACAGCTGCAACCAAAAAATAGCCGGGCGTTGTGGTGGGCACCTGTAGTCCCAGCTACTTGGGAGGTGGAGGCAGGAGAATCACTTGAACTCAGGAGTTGGAGGTTGCTATGAGCTGTGATGTCACAGCACTCTACCTAGGGCGACAGCTTGAGGCTCTGTCTCAAAAATAAAGTAAAATAAGAGACTTTAACTCATCAATAATTACAGTATATGTAAATGTCCTAAACCAACCAACTAAAAGAGATTGGCAGCTGGCACAGAGGTTCATGCCTGTAATCCTAGCATTCTGGCAGACCAAGGCAGGAGGATCACTTGAGGTGAGGAGGTCAAAGACCACACTAAGCAAGAGTAGTCTCTACTAAAAACAGAAAAAATTAGCACATGCCTTTAGTCCCAGATACCTGGGAGGTTGTGGCAGGATTGCTTGAGCCCAGAAGTTTGAGGGTGCAGTGAACTATGCTGCACTCTAGCCAGGGTAACAAAATGAGAATATACTTCAAAATAAATAAAGAAAATAAAGAAAAGAAAAGAAAAAGCAAAGATGGCGAAGTGCTTAAAAAATATGATCCAGCCATACGCTATCCATAATAAATTATTAAGTAATTACAAACAGTGATATAGGTAGGCTGAAAATAAAAGGTTGGAAAGAGATACCATGCAAACATTAAATAAAAGAAAGTGGGAGTGGCAATATTAATATAGACAAAGTAGACTTCAGAGAATAGAAAACTGCCAACAGAGAGGGACATTACATAATGATTAAAAGGTCAATCCACCAAGAAGACACTGCTGTAAAATACATGAAGCAAAAACTGACAGAATGGAAAGTGGAAACAGACAAATCCACAATTACAGTTGGAGACTTCAATACCTTTCTTTCTGCCAAGCACAGTGGTGCTCACACTTGTAATCCCAGCACTTTGGGAGGCTGAGGTAGGAGGACTGCTTGAGCCTAGGAGTTTAAGACCAGTCTGAGCAACATAGCAAGACCTAATCTTTACAAAAATAGAACTATTAGCTGGACATGACAGCACATGCTTGTAGTTTCGGCTACTTGGGAGGCAGAGGCAGGAGGATCACTTGAGTCCTGGAGTTTGAGGTTGTAGTGAGCTGTGATGATATTACTGCACTCTAGCCTGGGCAACAGAGCAGGACCCTATTCTCAAAAAACAAACAAACAATGCCAGGCATGGTGGCTCACACCTGTAATCCTAGCACTCTGGGAGGTCAAGGTTGGTGGATTGCCTGAGCTCAGGAGTTCAAGATCAGCCTAAGCAAGAGTGAGACCCTGTCTCTAAAAATAGCTGGGCATTGTGGCGGGCACCTATAGTCCCAGCTACTTGGGAGGCTAAGACAAGAGAATCACTGGAGCGCAAAAGTTTGAGGTTGCTGTAAGCTATGACACTAAGGCACTCTGTTGAGGGCAACAAAGTGAGACTTTGTCTCCAAAAAAAAAAAATCCCACCGTTCTCTCAACAATAAAACAGAAAATCAGCAGGGATACAGAAGAGCTCAAAGACACCATCAACCAACAGTATCTAACTGATATTTAGAGAACATTCCACCCAACAAAAACAGAATACACATTCTTTTCTTTCTATTTTCTTTAAGTCAAGAGCTATGCTGAGTGCAAAAAGTCAACCTACAAAGGTCACGCACTGTATTACTCTACTGACACAACATTATCAAAATGCCGAAGTTACAAAAAAGAGAACATATTCATGGTTTCTAGGGGTTAGAATGGTGTGAGAAGCGCAGGGGTATGTGGCTAGAAAGGGGCAGCACCAGGGACATCTGTGTGGTGGGTGGGGGAACAATTCTGCACCTTGACATGGTGGTGCTGATGTGAGTCAAAACTTGTGGGATGACTTCAAACCACACACACATTGCTAGTGACAATTTTTGGTTTTGACAGTACACTACAGGTAGGAAGACATAACCCACAGGGAAAACTCAGTGAAGGGTCCAAGGGACAGCTCCATACTACCTTTGCAATTTCTTTGCAATCTATAATTATTTCAAATACGTTTCTGGATACATCTATACTTACTGATCTCCTACAATAAATATATCAGGTATTTTACTGAAGCACAGTCATGGATTATTTTATTGAATCCTCAGAATAACTTTAAGAAGTTGGTACTATTATTATCCCCATTTTTAAATAGGAAACTGAGGCATTGCTTGCCACAGGAAAACCACTCTGATGCTCAAAATCTCAGAGCAACAGAGAATTAAAAACAAAAGTCTCTCATTTCGGAATTTAGAAGTTTAGGTCGATTTTACCCAGAAATCTATGATGGTAAATTTAAATATCATAGTATCATTTTACCCAGAGGCCATTTCTAGCTCTAAGAAGATACCTTTCAAGAATACTACTGCAATGATTATTCGGAGTTTCGGGGACTCTGAAAGTTCAGTTAGTATAGTCTTCTAACCTAAAGAAGACTCTCGTAGAGAATTCTCTCTACAGTATCCATGAGAGATAGTCGCTGAAATATCTAAGGACAGGGAATACTTAATTCTTGGGCAGCACTGCTACTGTTGGAAGCCTCATTGCTCAAGTGTGTTCTTCTCATACAACCTAAAACCCAAGTGTTCTCTCTGGATCAATGGAAGACTGTCTTTTTGAAAACGGACTCTAGCAGGTCCTCCCAGTTTCTTCCCAGACTCCTCAACATGCCCTGGGCACACTTGCTACCAATGCCCTGTTTAACCTCTGGAGCCTGGACTAAGCACAGTTCTTCAGATGCAGCTCCATGATAGAGTTTATAAATAGACACAAATTATGGAAGGAAACGAAGAAAGAAAATTTCTCCAGGAGCACAAAAATGTTTACAGATGTTAAAAATCAGTATGATAACAGCAGTGGTGGTGGCAGTAATGATGATGGTATCTTTCAGTGCAATTCAAACTTTAATGAATGGGAGAGGGCAGAAGTCAATAAAGAGTCTTGGCACTGGGAGGCAGATGACCTTGAATTTTGGTTCTGCAACTGGCTAATCTTGGACCGACAACTAACCTCTTAAGTTTATACCAGATGATATTATAACAGCTGGACCTGCCTGTCTCATAGAGCTTCTGTAGAGACCGACTGAGACAGGGCATGTAAGATGTCTTGATAGCATTAAAGAATTACATGGATAGAAGGTTACTAATAATAATAACAAATGACTTCATCATAATGCCAACTCCCAGGATGCACAGAGACTTTGAAGTTAATCTAGTCCTTACCCAGTCTTCTCCTTCAAGCTACAGAAGTAGAGCACAGATGGAATGTAAATGTTATTGCTTTTAATATAGTTGGTCCTACAGGCCTTTATTTAGCTAGGGTCCCCCTACTCCTTAGCCACTACACCATGGTTCAAACTCAGATGTGAGTCTAAAGCCAGGTTCTTTCCACATGGAAAATCTCAGACACTAATTTTTTTAGAAGGCTTTTGCCAATTAAAATCAATAAAAAACAGATAGAAATACTACCTTCTTTAACTCAATAATCTCATCATACATATCTTCTTTCTCTCTGTAGACAGGAATCCCAGGAACATGACCTACAGGAAGATAAAAAGATACCTTGAAAGATTATCTGAAAAGTAGAAAGAATACTTGGCTATACCTTAAGAAAAACCTGGAAGTTAATAAAGTTATCCTTTAAAAAAAAAGAGGAAAATAAAAAAGCAGAAGAAAACTATTTCAGTTTTTTTTGTTGTTGTTAAAGATGGGATCTGGCTCTGTTCCCCAGGCTGGAATGCAGTGGTGTGATCATAACTCACTAAAGCTTTGGCTTTCTGAGCTCAAAAGATCCTCCTGCCTCAGCCTCCAGGGTAGTATCTGGGACTACAGGTGTGTGCCACCACCACTCCTGGCTGCTCCCACCCACCCATTTTCACTTCTTAAGAGACAGACTCTTATAAACTTGCCCGGTCTGATCTTGAACTCCTGACCTCAAGCCATCTTCTTGCCTCAGCCTTCCTGGTACCTTATTTCAATGTTTTTAGCCTGATTAAGGAGACTTTTACAGAAAGCAAAGAAACAAAAAATGGTAACAATATACAAAGAGGAAACAAATAAAAAATATAAAGATGTGAAAACAGTTTGATTATAGTAAAAGGATTAAGAAGGGAGTCATATAAGGAGAACTGATATGTTTAGATTCTAAATAGTAAATGAAACAAAAAACAGACAAAAAATGCACATAACATCTCAACACCCATTCCAATGTAAAAACAGTAAAATTTTACTTTGGTTTTTATGATGCCTAATAAATATATTAAAGCCTAAAATATAACTCCCTAGCCAGTAAAAGCAATAAAGTAATCAATTCATGGAATTCAGTGAGGTTTTCAAAACACCCTAGATGTTATTCTTCCTTATGGAAGAACATAAGAAGAGGATAGGTGGAAAATGTCTGGATTCAGAAACAGAAAAATGCACTGATTATTTCTGGAGAGATTTGGGCTTTTTATTATTAATTGTAACTTTTATTTATTTCTAAAATTATTTATTTAATAATTTTTTTTGAGATAGTCTCACTCAATCACCCTGAGGTTGAGCGCCATGGCATCACAGCTCACAGCAACCTCAAATGCTTGAGGCTCAAGTGATTCTCTTGCCTCAGCTTCCTGAGTAGCTGGGACTATAGGTGCCTGCCATAACATCCAGCTAGTTTTTTTTTTTTTTTTTTTAAGAGGTGGAGGTCTCACTTTTGCTCAGGCTGGTCTCAAATTCTTGAGCTCAGGCAATCTACCTACTTCGACCTCCTAGAATGTTAGGATTATAAGCATGAGTCACCATGCCTGACCTGTTCAATAAATTTAAATAAAACTTTAAGTTTAGTGAGGTAGGAATAATGGCAAAATGTCACTATCTACACTATGAAAGCTACTTTCTAGGAGGGCAGAATAAACTTGCACAAGTCACCACCCTCAGGACATTTCAAAACATCCTACTGATGAAACTTGTAAATAAAGCCAAAAAATCCCACTTTGACAAATGACACCTCAAATCCAAAAGATTCTTTCCTGCTTTTCCTTAGTAATGACCTGGTTACCATCAATATATGCTCACCATTGCTGGCAGAATGCCTGAGGTCTGACCTCTTCATTCTTAAAGCTTCTGTCAGATAGTCAGGAGTGCTGCTGGGGGGTTTGGTCCATGTATGCTCCAAGGTGAGGTTTGATTTCAGGGGTTGGGTCAGACTTCCTGGTTTGAATGTGCATGGATTTAATATTATAGGTACAAGCAACACAGCGGAAGGTTCTTATTTCTAATCAACCTTCCTGGGTTGAAGAAAGCTTAATACCAGCAGTCAGTGGTGTGCTGATAAATATTTAACAATCAGTTCTCAAAAATAAATCAATAAAGCTCTGATTTGTAATCTTTGCCCATTTCCATGGTATAAATATTCCCATCATGTCCATTTCAAGCTGCCATTATGACACTGACCAGCTCAAAATATTCTTGCAAGGTGTCAGGAGTTGGGTGCAACACACCACTACTGGCAGCCCAGAGACAACCTCAGGTGGGAAACCTGCAGCCTTGTGATTTTAAGATTGTTCTTTTTTTAAGCACCAGAGGAGGCAAGAAGAGCTTTATCTTTCTCTGTTGCACCTCCTTTAATAAAAGGATTTGTTCTGTAAAATTTGTATTCAGTCAAAAGGCCAAACTTAATGATCCAGAAGGCCATGTGGCCTTAAGGTTGCAGGCTCCCCACTCTTGCCAGGGTGTTACTTGTTTGAAACTACATTTACATACAACAAAAAAATATAGTATTAATACTCAATGTCTTGTTTTATTTTGTTTTTAATATATGGGGTATCGCTGTCACCCAGGTTCGATGGTAGTGGCATGATTACAGCTCACTGCAGCCTCCAACTCTTGGGCTCAAGTGCTTCTCTGCCTCAACCTCCAGAGAGGCTGAACATACAAGTGCACACAAGCATGCCTGGCTCTTACACAATGTCTTTGAGAAGATTAAATAAAATATAATTCAAACATATTAAAAACCTATCTCAAATCACCCCTACTCCCATAATTACTCATCTCTCAAGCAGGAAGGGCCTCCCCTGGGGTGATCACATACCTGGCTTTGAAGTTCCCAGCCACAGTTTCTGCGGGGTTAGAGACACTCTCCCACCCAGAGGCATGCTCCCTGCTGTCCTGAGGGATCTCCAGGATGCCACTTTTCTTGGCTTAGAGTGATAAGGTGACTCTAAAAAGCCAATGCATGGTTTTAGACTTACAAGTCATCAAAGCCCCTCAACATATATGCTTCAGAAAGACAAAAACGGTAAAACAAAATATTCATAAAGGTGTGATGGCTCCAGACTAAAACATTCTGGCAAAAATAAAAAATTCAGTTATTTTACATCTATTTCTCTTTACCTTTTATTATAAAGAATATAATGGGAAATTCAAATTAAAAATGTGAATAATTCTAACAATATTATAATTCTACCAACAAATAATTACCCATCTAATTCTTTTTTTCTTGCAGTTTTTGGCCAGAGGCTGGGTTTGAACCTGCCATCTCCAGTATACGGGGCTGGCGCCCTACTCCTTTAAGCCATAGGCACCACCCCCCCATCTAATTCTTTTCAAATACATACATATTTTGCACAATCACAGTGAATATAATTTTGCATCCTTTATATTTAACACTGTAAATACTTTTTTTACTTTGTTGCTTAGTAACTGCAAAATTTGAACTCAATATATAAAATATCTAAAACAAATATGAAAAATTATACTTTTTCAGGGCATTCTTGAATTTTTCATTGAAATGAAGGAAATACTTTAAAATTATTTATCTAGGATTTCACATGTTTAATTATACAAAATATAATCTTAAGCAAAAACTAAAATATTCATAAAACATTCTTTTTCTCTTTCTGTTTTTAGAGACAGGGTCTTGCTCAGTTGCCCAGGCTCACTATAGCCTCAAACTCCTGGGTTCAAGCAATCCAAACCTTGGCTCCCAAAGTACCAGGACTATAGGCATATACCACCAGGCCTGGCCAAAATATTCTTATATATCTCAATCTTAAACTGCAAGGAAATTTGTATCTATAAAAGCTCCAGAAAATTTAATATGTATAAAATTTTTAAATATCTACATTTTTCCCCCATGGTTTCACTATTTGTGGAAAATTTCCCATTATAACTTGAATGAGGGAATAAAGACACGTTAGAACTCACATTTTCACTTACCCTTGACCACAGTACCCCACCAATGAGATGTTCTGAAACCTCCCAAACCAAGTTATCTTTTATAGAAGCAAATTAATAATCAGAAAGCCCTACAAATTACATTTCCCTCCTAAGTGCGTGGATTTATCAATGAATAGTCAGGAGTCCTCAGGATAAAAGCTGAGAAGGAAGAAGAAAGGATGAAAACAAGATGGTGGGAATATATTGGTATCTGATACCTATGAAAAATAATAAACTCTGAAAGAAGGGAAACATTGCTGTCTGCCTTGCCTCCAAACAAAGAGGCTGGCAGGTAGAAAGCCTCAGAATATCTTGTAAACTACAAGTAGATATGCATATAAAATGAGGCATTTAAGAAAACCATTTGTTATGGTCCCTACTCTCAGGGTACTTGAAATCCAGACAGAAAAACTTGTCCTGAGTAAAGAGTTCCAAGACCATGAGGGGACAAATGAAATGTGGCACCCTGCAGGCTAAGTGGGTCCTGCTACAGGGGCTCCAGGGTGCCTGAGACAGAGGCAAGCATTGGGCTGGCTGCAGGGACAGCAGATGCCTACCCTGCTTCAGGGCTTTGACTCTCAAGAGAGAAAAATGAAAATAATTCAATTATTACTGTTTTCAACACTTAAAATGCTTGACTTTCAGTAAGAATAAGATGGATATTTACCTTACTTACCTTCAAGCTAAAAAGGACTTATACAAATGATAAAATGAAAAGTTTTTTTTTTTTTTGAGACAGGAGCCTCAAGCTGTCCCCCTGGGTGGAGTGCCGTGGCATCACAGCTCACAGCAACCTCCAACTCCTGGGCTCAAGCGAGTCTCCTGCCTCAGCCTCCCGAGTAGCTGGGACCACAGGTGCCCGCCACAAAGCCTGGCTATTTTTTTGTTGCAGCCATCATTGTTGTTTGGCGGGCTGGGATGGATTCGAACCTGCCACCTTGGGTGTACATGGCTGGTGCCTTAGCCACTTGAGCCACAGGCGCCGAGCCAATGAAAAGTTTTAAGACAAAAACACAGTACTTTTAATTGATTCTCAATTATCCCCATGGAAAAACATCAAAAATCCAAATTGTTGGATGATTTCTTTCTGATGTTTATATTTATTTGTAACATAAAACATCTATTCTTTGCAGACATTTACCTTTCTAACTACATTTTCCTTGGTCAACTATGAAAGTTTATGTGTATTTTTTGAGTATGTCACACATAAGACTCAATATATTTGAAATATATGATAGACATGTATGAAATACAGCACACAAATACAGATGATGGAGCTAGGAAAAGCCACAGGTTTGGTGTAGCAAAAGGCAATCAGTCTAGGATTTACAGTGTGTTAACCATAGGTGTCAGATCGGCACACAGATCTCCATGCACTAGAGCAGTGTCAGAGTGAGAGATGAAATCGGAAGCCTTGTAGCCACTTGGACGGACCCCATCTTGGCAATATCCTTCTGGCTGAGTAGCTGCCTTCTTGGCTGCTAATGAGGGAGGGGACAGAGTTGCCCTCCTCCTGCAGAGGACAAAGAAGAAGAGAATCCTGGCAGCAAAATGAGCCCAGGGAAATCCCAAACGGAAAAAAAATGGAACTTTCCATCTATCTTAGCACGTCTACCATCTACACTGCCTCTGTACAAGGCCCAGAAGGGCGGCTTTGATTCTTAGGGAACACATACTAGATAAAAAACAACTTTTGACCTGAGTAGCAGTCTGAAGAGTTAAGCAAGTTGAGAAAGTAAGATAAGAGAAAACAAAGGCCACAAAGCACTGGTCTGGTCTCTGAGAGTCTGTAAGGGCCTACCCAGGAGCAGCCCCAAAAACTAGCTCATGGCTTAGGACAGGCAGGAATTCCAGCAGTATGTATTCCCAAGATCCTGATACAAAAAGGACCACCTGGCTGGAGTGTCCAGTCTCAATTATCCCAACTGTACAAAGAAAGAAACATGCTTTATCATTCTTCCCAGACACCAGAAAAGGACAGCTTTTTAAAAACATCCCAGAGTTAACATGTAGAAATTTGAGGGGCAAGGCGGCCTGGTCATACTTACTTGGTGATGTGGGTGGAGGTTTGTGGAAACTTTTCCTTTTTGTTTTCTGAAAGAAAGGAGAAATGATGTAAAGCATGTTGAGCTTTCTACAGCTACAAAAATGGTCCCAATCATGAGACAATGCTGTGTTCAGAGTGGGTTGGAGGGAGTGTGAAAGCCACAAGAGGGGAAATTAATTTAGCTGAGACACAGCAGTCAGAGCTAAGGATGTGCCCCAGGAGCTGCACTCATCTCTGCTGAGGCTGAGCGAGAGCCCATGGAGCTGGGAGTTCTAACCACAGAAAAACAACGGGCCTAGGGTTCTTAACATTCAGACTGAAGATCCCACATCACGGAGTATCATTTTCCATTCAAACTATCCTCACTGCCGTCTCTGAAGCACTGGTGCCTGCCTTTGTCCTCCTCTGTGGATTTGGCAATCTGAAACCCTTGCAAATAAGTCAACTGCAAATCCCACTAAAGAAGAAAAGTCCAGGGAAGGAAGATCCTGTCTTCAAGACAGTCTCCCATGACAACCATGATGCTAAACGGAGAACTGAGTACAAATTTGGTTCTACTACTTAGAACAGGTTGAGTATCCCTTATCCAAAAAGTTTGGAAACAGAAATGTTTTAGATTTTGGAATATTTGCATATATATATTCTTCAGGATGATGCCCAAGTCTAAATACAAAATTCATTTATGTTTCATATATACTTTATACACATAGCCAGAAGATAATTTTATGTAAAATTCTAAATGATTTTGTGCATAAAACAAGGTTTGTCTTAAGACTTTTTTTTTTTGAGACAGAGTCTTACTCTATTGGCCTCGGTAGAGTGTTATAATGTCACAGCTCACAGCAACCTCTAACTCCTGGGCTCAGGCGATTCTCCTGCTTCAGCCTCCCAAGTAGCTGGGACTACAGACACCCACCACAACGCCCGGCTATTTTTTGCTGCAGTTTGGCCTTGGCTGGGCTTGAAACCAAAGCCCCTGGTATATGGGGCTGGTGCTCTATCCCCTGAGCCACAGGCGCCACCCTGTCTTAAGTTTTTATATGTGAAATTTACTACTTGTGGTGATCATGTTGATGCTCAAAAAGCTTCCAATTTTGGATTTCAGGTTTTTGGATTAGGGGTGCTCAACCTCCAGTTCCATGGCCTGGGGAAAATGATACAACAAATGTTAATTTCCTCATTTGCTTAGCGCTAGCTGAGAAGGTAATGGTATCATGGCCAGCTTCCCCTCTAGCAGAAACAATGGACTCTATGTTCCTTGCAGGCCGAATTCTACCTGGGGTCTTGGTTTGAATCACTTCTCCAATGAGTGTCTCAGGCCCATGTCCTCAGTGATATGGAGGGAAAATCCTCAACTTCGCAGATAGAGGCCCCTCTCTGGAGACAATGGACCCCGGGGTTCACAATACTAAGGTGGAATGAGATTTGCTGGTGCTGGGTTCTCTCCAAGATGATGGGCTATGTATGGTTTTGCTAGACTTGTACCCTTGGTGAGATGAGCTTCTTTGGCTCAGCTACTACTAGAGGAGTGAGTAGGCTTTGTTTTCTCCCCAGCAAAGCTTGCCAAAACAACCCAGAGAGGCCAGGCTGGGGGGCTGCAGCATGCCATTGGACAGCTGGACCTAATGCTTCTGGCCCATTCTCCCTTTGTTTTTCCCTTCTATGCTGTCAGGCCAAGCTGGCCAAGCTGTGGCTCAGCTTTAGGGTATAGCTGTCGAGGAAGTCCTTTACCCACCAGGTGCTTCCAATCACATCACCTTGTTTCTCTCCTTTCATGTCAGGATGGGGGGTGGGCAAGTGCAGGGCATACCCAGATACAAGATAGAGACTAGTATCTGTCTCAAGTGAACCCTACTCAGGATTAATTTCTACATAAAAGTTTGAAAATTACATTTATTTAAATACAACTGAGGGAGACTTTTCAAAAACCAAGTAGCAGTTTGAATTTATATTCCAGATCTGAACACAAGATATGTGGAGAATGACCTATTTACATGTTTAAGTAACCTCTTTAAGGGCAAAAAAATAACTACTGGGATAAAATGCCAACTCCTGATGGCACTCACCGTCTCAAAGTCAGAGTCAAAGGTGATTGCAGATAGACTGTCATCTCCCTGGAAGAAGAGATGCAAACACTGTAACTTAAGGCACCTGCTTGATTTCCAACAGTCAGATTTACAAAACTGACAAAAGCCCATCCACAGCTGCTAAAACAGAAAGCCGATAAATACAACGCAAAGTAAACTCAGTGCATTTCTAGCTGGGCTATGGCGTTTATACAGTCTCACCAGAAAGAACAGATAGGGGAAAAAGAAATTCATATTGCATAAGGACAAAAAAAAGAAAAAACAGGTAGGGAGAAAACACAAACACTACCTGTTTCATGTCCCAAAACTAGCAACACTATTTCCGCACAATTGCTATGTAGTTTTGATTTTTAAAAAGTTCCTGATAAAAGTTATTTCATTTTTCACATTGTTTAAATGTTCTTTTATTCCTTTTCACATCAAAGCACAATGAATCTGTGACTCTCCATACAAACAAATCAAAGTCATTTTTAAACAAACACTCATTAACACGTACATTATAAGAAAACATTTGCACTTTTAAAGGGAGTAAAATAAAAGTTTCACTATCTACTGTCAGTACTAGGATAATAAGGGGAAAAGGTAACTTTACAAAGAGAAGGATGTTTCTGTGTTAAATCATTCACTCATATTTAAATCCTAAAAGAGTGATAGCAAAAAAAAATGTCTAACTCCCTTCAGCATATTGTATGGTTGATTTATAATGTTGATACTGACAGGGCTGAATGGCCCTATTATGAACTAATAATGCTACAGGTGGAAATAATTTCATTTCAGTGATCTGTCCCTGGTACAGCTGAAGCCACACAGTATTATAATGGGACTTTATTGCATTCTGAAAAGCAGACATATTTTCTATAAGGTTAAAAGTACATTAAGCAATAATTCTGTTAGCAGATTGAAACTGTATTAGAAATACATGGGGTGCACTATAACATGGACAGGGAGTGACGGTCTGGCACCCTTAAATGGGATTCTCAAACACAGAGAGGCTAGGTTAAAAATGCAGTGGGATGTGGAGGGGCAAAAGGAAGGTAATACACTCCAAATGAACAGCGCCTTTAAAAAAAATAAGCCACTTAGAAAACAGTAGTTCATCAAGCTAAAATTAACAAAAAAAAAAAAAAAAAGAAAGAAAGAAAGATCAGTCACTGGCATAGATTACAGGTGATATTTTAAGGCATAAATAAGTATATCATAATTATGAAGAGACATTATCCTTTAACAAAGTACATTAAAATGATGTACAAAATTAGAAAAGCAGGCAGGGAATCAGACATATATATATATATGTTAAGTAGACGATCAGGAAAGCCAAGTCAATAACCTGCATTTTAGCTGGTGTTGGATGTAAACCGACTGAAAACCCTAGAAAAGAAGCAACAACTTTCTTTATAAATACTTCTCATTTTTATGTGGTCTGAATAAAATCTTGCAAGACTTTCTGAATGACCAGAAATTCAACAAAGGAATGAGATAACATAACAAAGTGATCTCATCCATAACCATTGTAGGTAAAAAAAAAAACCAAACCATTATTTTCTCTTCTAATAAGCCCCCCTTCAAAGTATGCTACTTTTCAGCCTGTCAGTCATAATGAACTGAAGAAATGAAATACAGTATCTGAAGTTATAGACTGGTTCAAGGATCCACCTTCAGTCAGCAGAATAAGATGTGAGCAGTATTCAAACAAACCACCATTCTTGACCGTTTCATTCTACCTTCTTCAAGTACTGAGGCTGCCACACACTTCCATACTAGACTAAAGTCACTCCTTCTGTGTCAGGGTCACTGGCTGGCAGGCAGCTTGTGTGAGAATTCTTGAAGGCCTGAATCAGCAAGTAGGCTCCATTCCAGCTCTGTGCTGTTGACAATGCCCTCTGAATTTCAGCCTCCTCATCTGCTCCTACATTCTCCTACCGTATTTTTAAGATAATCAAATATACATACATATATAAAATATATAAACTAATTAGAACATTGAGGAAAAAAACATGTAGTGTCCAGAAAGAAATCTAGAAACAAATGGGAATTTAGTATATGATAAAAGTAGTGAAGGAATCAATTAATTTGATTTCCAGAATGGTGGGGTAAGGAGATTGGAGAACTCTCTCCTCAACAAACAACAATTTGTTTATTCAGAAAAAGCATTAAAAAAGGAAAACAAACAATCATTTAACAGAGAAAATTATAAAACATTTATTAATTTGAAGTTTCTAGAAACTGACCTAAGGGCATATAGCAACAGAGAAAGATTTATTCAAGAAAATCTACAAAATCCAGTTAAGAATAATAGTCAGTAGCAGTCAGTCAGCTAGGAGAACAATCAGAGTTTAACAGAGCCCAGAAGAGCCATCCTGGAGTACAACTAAGCTAGCAAGGAAGCTGCCTATGCGCACCTACTCAGGAGGAAGATTTGGGACAGGCTCAGAAGCATTCCCCAGGCCCTGCACAGAACAACCAAAGGTCACAATCCCCTCTTGTACTGAAGGTACATAACCTCTGACCACAAACTGGATGAATAATCAACTACTCTGACCCAAGAGCAGCCCCTAGGAAGTCAGGATTAAAAATGAAATTATACACTTCCCCAGAAGTTTGAAAGACAGTGTACATGTCCAAGGATGCCCTCTTAAGAGAGACTGAAGAGGGAAAGCTCAAGCTCCTAGTCTCTGGTTGAACTGTGGGCAAAACTTAAAATGCCTGAACTGTGATACTAGACTCCAAGCCACACACACATCCAATAGTAAAGGACAAAAATCTAACTGGCTAAGGGGCTTTAACACAACCATTGACCAACTATTATAGGCTTATACTGATCCGAAAGTGACTCTCTACACTAAGAGACAAAACAAGAAAAAAATTAGAGCAGGCAATCAGAGGCTTCACAATGCAGGGAGACAGACTTCATGGAGTTAGCTTAGCCAAATCATTAATCAAATGAACAACCAAGCAAACAATGTCAACTCCCTGGACAGGAGGGATCGATGTCTAAAGTTGCTACAATATATTATCTAGAGGTCTAGTTTTCAACCAAAACTAGTATCAGGCATACTAAGAAACAGAAAAATATGACCAACACAGGGAAACAAAGCAGGCAATGGGAACTACTTTTGAAGGGGCCCAAATGTTGAACTTAGTAGACAAAGACTTCAAAACAGCCATTGTAAAGATTTCAAAGAACTAAAAGAGACCATGTCTATAGAATAAAAGATAGAAATAACAACAAGTGCCTTCAAAGAAAGACTATTAACAGAGATAAAAATTATAAAAGAGAACCAAATGGAAATTCTGAAGTTGAAAAACATAATACTAAAATGAAAAATTCACTAGAGATCATCTTAACAGAATATTTCCTCTGCTGAATAAATGGCATCTATAAAAATCTGGTGCAACACTTAATGGAGAAAGAGTGATCATTTTCCTCCTAATGTTAGAAACAAGACAAGGATTTCCTTTCTCATCCTTGAATTTCAATTCAAATTATACTGGAGGTTCTATTAATATAAGACAAATAACTAAAAGACATTCAGATTGGAAAGGAAGATGTAAAACTACCTCTATTCACAGACAACATGATCTTATACATAGAAAATCATAAGGAATCTACTAAAAACTTTGTTTTTTTTGAAGACAGAGTCTCACTTTGTCACTCTAGGTAGAGTACCATGGCATCATCATAGCTCATAGCAACTTCAAACTCTTGGTCTTGAGTAATCCTCTTGGCTCAGCCTCCTGAGTAGCTAAGGTTACAGCATGTGTCACTATGCCAGACTAGTTTTTCTATTTTTAATAGAGACAGGATCTTGTCTTGCTCAGGCTGGTCTAGACTCTGGAGTTTAAGCAATCCACCTGCCTCAGCCTCCCAGTGTGGTAGGATTACAGTGTGAGCCACCACATCCAGCCTATAAAACTATTAAAACTAATAAATGAATTCAGTAAGTTTGCAGGATATGAGATCATGTAAAATATCAATTACTATTGTATACAGTATATAGTAGCAATGAACAATATAGAATGAAATTTTTAAAATTCCACTTACAACATCAAAAATAAAATACTCAAGAATAAAGTTAACAAAAGAAGTGCAGGCTTCATACACTAAAAAATATAAAACACTGTTGAAAGAAATCAGAGCTACAAATTAGAAAGCAATCCCATGTTCATGGGCTGCTAGGCTTAATATTTTGGTAAGAGGGCAATACTCCCTAAATTGATTCACAGATTCCACATTTTCCCTATTAAATTCCAATTGCCTTCAAAAATTGATAAGCTGGCTCGGCGCCTGTGGCTCAAGCGGCTAAGGCGCCAGCCACATACACCTAAGGTGGTGGGTTCGAATCCCCAGCCCGGGCCCGCCAAACAACAATGACAGCTGCAACCAAAAAATGGCCAGGCGTTGCGGCGGGCGTCTGTAGTCCCAGCTACTTGGGAGGCGGAGGCAGGAGACTCGCTTGAGCCCAGGACTTGGAGGTTGCTGTGAGCTGTGATGTCATGGCACTCTACCCAGGGGGGATAGCTTGAGGCTCCCTCTCAAAAAAAAAAAAAATTGATAAGCTATTCATAAAATTTGTATGGAAATGCAAGAGACCCAGAATAGCCAAAACAATTTCAAAAAAGAAAAGTTCCAGAACATTTATCTATTTCCAAATGATTACAAAGTTATAATAATCAAGACAGTGAATTATTGGCATTAAGATAGGCAGATAGATAAATAGAATAAAAATTAAATTCTTACATTTATGGTCAACCGATTCTTGAAAAGGAAGAAAAATAGCCTTTACAATAAATTGTGCTGGGACAACCGGATATCCACATGCAAAAGAAGCTGAACTGCTTGTCTACATCATACACAAAAAATAACTCAAATAACACAAAATGGGCCAATGGCCCAAACGTAAGAGCTAAAACTATAAAAATCTTAGAAGAACACAGATAAATCTCTTGTGACACTGGATCAGGCAATGGTTTCTTAGATATGACTCTAAAAGCACATGCGACAAAAGAAAGCATAGGTAAATGAAACT